AAGAACAACAAAAAAAGAAAACGATTGATCGATTATTAAATTAGTCATCGATTATTTTAATAATCGATTAGTTGTCGATTAATTGTGGCAGCCCTAATTTAGATTACTAACTGCTCCTCTGTTACTCTTCATCTACAAACGTTAATAGATTCTGTGTCTTTTTTATTATTTGTTTGCAGTTGGCTGTCATTAGATGTGTATGGCTGTATTTTTATTTAATTCATGCAAGTAGATGTGTCCATTTTTAGATTTGTTCTTATTCTCAGCCACATGGTGGCAGCATCGTTTTAGTTATGAAGCATAAAGAAATCAACTCTTTTAAGTTTTCAGCTATCTATTTGCATTGCAGCTTCGCTATTTATTGAACAGGATTGTGCCTTATTGATTACCTTTAAATGTAAAAGACATGACATCTATACTTTATCAAATGTTATTTATGTTGTTTCTCAAGTAATGTGATAGTGCTTTACGTCAAAAGTGTTACTTTATACCCTCCCACATTGCTGTGTGTGGAAGGAAAAAAACATTTTCTGTTTTGTGGGAATTCTCACTTTATTTTAAGAAACAAACTCCAGATATGTTTTCATCTTTTCTAATAAACCCTGTGATGTGGCGTTTGTTCAAAGGGCTATGCGCTGGTGGAGTATGAGACGTACAAAGAGGCACAGGCAGCCATGGAAGGGCTCAATGGTCAGGAACTGATGGGTCAGACCATCAGTGTAGACTGGGCATTCGTCAGAGGACCCCCCAAGAACAAAAGGAGGTGAGGCGGTTGAATATATTTACTGTCACATCCAATTTTGTAACGCACAACTTCAAAATAGCCATAACATTTTTTGACAGACTACATTTCGTTTTTATACAGCGATTGTCTGTGTTTTATTACAGGGGTGGCGGGCGAAGGCGCAGCAGAAGTCCAGACAGAAGACGGCGTTGAGTGGCACCTTTCGCATCACATGACGAGGCAGATTTTCATAAAAATTAAACATGGATTTTTTTTCTTCTTTTGTACATTTACAATAAGTACCTGCTACACACAGCAACTCTTACTGAAGTAAGTAGTTATACAAAAAAAGAAAGTTTAGTTTAACACTTAAAAGAAAAATATGTGGAACTGTTAGTGAAACTTTGTGTAACACTCAACACTGACGTGTTGTTTGTACATGTTTATAGTGTTCCTTCAAATGTTTGAGTTTGTATTTTATGATGATGTGTTTTGTGTTTTTATAATGTAGGGAACAATAAAGTTTTTAAAGAGCAAATGTGTGTCATGCTGTGCTTTAATTAGAATAATTCATGTGACGTAGAGTTTACATCACCCAGGATGATCTCACCCACTCTATTGTGATGGCTGTTTTGTCAACCCCAAAAACACCTGTCACTCTGGCCCTGTGTCTCACTCATTGGCTGGTTGAACCACCTCCTGCTCTGTTTTTATTTTATTTTTCCAGCAGCCAATTGGCGAGTGCGTGTTTCACCCTCTGTTCTCATTTGGTGTTTACTCTGCTGGATAAAATCAGTCAAAACCTTTGGACCTTCCTATTGGTTGTTTGCCCGTGGTTTTAAAGGTAGCCTGAGGCTGTGATTGGTCCAGCCTTCTAAGGGGGCGGGCTTAGTCTTCGGGTTGACGTTGTTGTTGTAAGTGGTGTAGAAATTACTTTGTCGGTGGTCCGGATTGAGATCTTGCGCTGAGTGTTGCATGTGAGCATGATTAAAAGTTAGAAAGCGCTAATTTTGGATACGTACGTTCTGCTTACAAGTTGGCACACCCTCGGAAACTTAACGGGACTATGAGGAGAACATCTGCGGGGCCTTTGAAGGTAAGCAGTAAACGGATACCCCTGCTGCTACTACTAGCTAGCTTTAGCTAACGTTAGCTTCTGATTAGCCAGGCTGAAGCTAACGATAGCTAGAGCACACGGTTCGGTCTATTAACAGATTTTATTTTTGTCTTTATCACTCAGTGACCATCACGTTCATGCACGGATGTAAATAATTAAACTATATGTATCCAAAGGGCAAATAAAGTTCAGTGGTTGTGAGCATCAGCATCTGCGTTTGAACGCCTCAAATACGTTTATGTAAGCATGTGTATTGTTCGCCGACTCTTAAAGAGTAGTTCATAATAAAAGCCTCTCATCAACATTTAGGACGAGCATCTGCACTCGTTTGCAGTTTGGTTCCTGGACGTTTAAATGAACAAAATACCGAGGATGGCTGAGGAGATCACATATTTCCCTCACTTTATTTGAACTTCTCACAGATTTAATATAAATGCTGTTATCTCTATAAGAGCCCGCAGTCACGATCCAGAACATCAGAGGTCGGTTTGTGTTTAAGGTGCAGGTGTGATGTAACATTTTATTTAAAGCACCAGCTTAGCGGGACATTACCAGTGTTTACAACTACTCACGTGTGTTTCCTAACATACAAGTCGAACGAGGCTTTCACGAAGTGGACTTAGTGAGCCCCTCTCATGGTGGGGGAGACCCCCCTGGGCCCTGAGTCCACCACTGGGTCGTTTTCTATCTCCTCCAACAAAGCCACGATGGCAGAGTGTTGTGTTACGCTTTGGCCTGAATTATTCACATCTTGTGGTTGTGGAGGCTTCTGTTTGCTGAGACATTGGGGGTTGATGGTCAACAAAACAAATGGGTCAGTGATAAATAAGCTTTGGTTTTTTTCTTTATTGGGTATGTTGCTGAACTCATGTATCATCAGAAATGACTCATTATCCTCATTTTACACGTTTTATTCAAGAAGCTTTGTAGAACTGCAGCTGTAGTTCTGCCACTTATAATTAAAGGGATCCATGATTAGTTGTAACGTTAGGCTTTATTTGATAAAAAAAATTACCTTAACTGTAAAATAAAGACTGTAAAAATACTGTAGGCAGTTTAGTTTTGTAAATTTTTAAAAATACATTTTAACACTGTCAGAGCCTTTTTATTTACACACAAAGCATTCTGGGTAAATGATGACGTGGATAGGTCCTCGGTGCGAGGCTGCTAGCGAGCTATATCCACCCTGAAGGTTAATCTTGGACAATATCTGATGATCGACTCTTTTAAATGAAACCAGAGAGCGTTGACAGAGAGGAGAAGGTAGAAATGACTCAGCCTGTAACTGAAAATATGGATGGAGGACAACAGAGCTGCTTCATGGAAGAAGAACCTCAGCTTAGCCGAGGTACACTTCGCTGCAGCATGCAGAACGGGGCGGTGACAGACCTTTCCGTCAGTCCCATAGTTTATATGGAAATGGGACTATTGCATTCCGGAAATGAAAGTTGCGCGGGATTAAGAGAGCAAAGGAAGAAGAAAGGAAGAAGTTAGAGAGTTTCTTCTACTCACGTTGAAGTACTCAGAGCATTATTTATTAATTTCTTTTATCCACCGCCCCAAACACAGACCCTCAGGTTAACCTCACAGGTTTAATGCCTAAGGTTAACCTCACAGGTTTAATGCCTAAGGTTAACCTCACAGGCCTAATGCCTAAGGTTAGTTTGTTACTGTAATATAATATTAATATCCAAAAACAACAAAGATTTAATAAAGATTTGAAAATGAAAAAGGGACATACCACGTGACATAACACGTTGTGTAGCCATTTCCTTACTGTAAATTTTCTTTTTTTATTTTATTTTTTTATTAAACAACAAAGAACACACAAAATGATACAATGTACAAACATTAAGGCATATTTCAAACAAACAAACTTGCATAAAAGAGAAAAAGGATGGGTGCAAATAAAGATAAGAAATTCCTTACTGTAAATTTTGTATTGTTAATGTTGATAGTGTTCGATAGAAAATAGTTTCACTAGCGCCCCCTTCATGTTCGGAATGCAATAGTCCCATTTCCACATAAGGAATGGGACCGACGGAAAGGTCCGTCACCGCCCCGTTCTGCATGCTGCAGCGAAGTGTACTTGGCTTAGCCTGTTAGCGTTAGCGCTGACGCTATACTGCCTTATATGTATTAGCTCAGCGCTAGCGTGACAAACAAGCTAAACTGAGGTCCTCCATCCATATTTTCAGCTCCAGGCTGAGTTATTTCTACCTTCTCCTCTCTGTCAACGCTCTCTGGTTTCATTTAAAAGAGTCGATCATCAGATATTGTCCAAGATTAACCTTCAGGGTGGATATAGCTCGCTAGCAGCCTCGCACCGAGGACCTATCCACGTCATCATTTACCCAGAATGCTTTGCGTGTAAATAAAATGGCCCTGTCCGTGCGATATATTTTTAAACTTTCAGTTTAAAAATTTACAAAACATCCTACAGTATTTTTAGTCTTTTTATTTTACAGTTAAAATATATGTTTATCAAATAAAGTCTAATGTTACAACTAATCAGGGATCCCTTTAAGGTTGTAACACTTATTTCATGAAAAGGGACAATATGGGGGGAAAAAAGTTTTTACCACAAACTCAGCTGAAGCAAAGCAAAATCAGGTTTGTGTTTGACCTTTGAGAAATAACTATTAGTGAAAACTCTTGTTTTTGTATGGATGCTGTCAGTAAAACCACCCACGACCTGTTCCCAGTGACACAGAACAAAACAATATAATTCACTGTATTTGTTTAGCGAGCTGTTTCTGTTATGTTTTCTATGAGCCATTTGAATTTGTGGCTCCTGATGTAAATTTGTGGTTCACTTATTTCCAGCACATCAAACAGAAATCTCCACTAGTGTTGTTTAGTTTGCAGTCCCAGTAACACCAGCTGAAAATGGCAGGAAGTTTGATTTTTTTTTAAAAAGTGGGAACAGAAATGGTTTTAACTAATGTAAAAGGTTTGTTATGGTTCAGAAGTTGCAAGGCCTCATTTGAACTGTTTACTGTGACACATCGGAGCAGAAATAAACTAGTGAGCTGCTACTGCAGCTGCTGTGAAATACTTCCACACTGAAGAGGTCGTGCAAATGGAAAATCTCTTTCCTGTTAAAACTATTTTCCCAACCTAAACTGTCAACTAGTCTTACACTAAATCTGTTTGGTTGTGAGAAACTACTGTAACCATGCTGCCACTGCGACACATGCAAATTTAAATATGTGCCTTACTGGGTTCTCCAAACAGCTGCCCAGTCTGTATTTGTGCCACAGATCCAGTGTCACTTACCGAGCCGAGCCCATTTGACCATTGAGCGATTCAGGATCTCTAAAGCACGGTCAGATTAATAACAGTGCGTCTTCAGGTTAGTAGGACAGTGAGATTTTTTGACTAGTTGGTCTTAATGTGAAGTCAGAACAGGCATGAACTTGTCCTAAAAACCTGCTTTTTAAGATTTTCTGAATGTTAAAATAAATGATGAAATCACACAGATACAGTTCTGTTTGTATCTGCTAATATCAAAAAGATAAAGATGAGAGAGAAAAGCAGAAAGTACCTCAAGTATTCACACAGAGTGAGGAGGAGATCAATGTGTTCTGGAAGTTCTCTTAAACCTTGTTGTTGTCTGTGGGGCTGGTTCCTGCCGTTCCTGGGACACGTCCCCCAGCTTGTGCCCTGGGTGGAACTTGGAACCAAACATTTACCTGGGCACCAGCTGCTGATTAACTGTGAACAGGTGCAGGGATTACATCTGCACTGAATGATGTCTCTTTAAATAATCACATCAGCCCACAGCAGAAGCACATCAACTCAGCTGTCATTCAGGGGGAACTATATAGAGCATTAGATTTTTACTGAATGAAGCAAAAATGTAAAAAAATCGTCACATAATTATTTTTTTCTTGTTTTATTGCAAAACAGAATGCTATTGTTGATTCTTTCACTGTCTAATGTATCACAAGTTGTTTAATAATTCTTATATTTTAGTTATATTACTATAATAAAACAAAAAATAAATAATTGAGTTTTTTTAACCAGTTACAGAAGGCACAGTCACGCTATGTTTTAGACAACTTATGCCAACTTATAAAGTTTCCACTATATTACTAAAAATGTTAGATATTTGTTCACTTTGTTAGTATTGAAGTAGGGGTGCACTGATAAATCAGCCGGCTGATTTATTGATGCTGATTTCCTTAATTTTGGGTGAGCGGAGATCATCCGATCCTCAGATAAGATCAGTAGAATCGATATCAACAAACATCAGAATCAGCAGGTCCGACTTTTTAAAGATCGGAGATGGTCCAGAAACCTGCAGTCAGTGCTCCCCTACATTACAGTACATGCCTAAAACAGGCTTCCAGTTATTTTTTTAATTCCATCTTCAACATAAATGTCTCCAAGCTTTTCACAAGTTTGCACAAGTTGTG